CCCCCCCCCCCTTCCAAAGAAAAAAGAAGACAAAAGAACAAAAAGAAAGGAGGAAAGGAAGAAAGGATGTTCTTAAGATAAATATAAGTTTAGAGGTGTTTAGATATAGAATACCTAGTCTAGCCTCGGTGTAGAGCCTAGTATAGGAGAGTTAAGGTAGAGAGTAAGTGAAAAATAAAACATATATATATATTAAGTAGGATAGATACCTAGCCTCTGATATACAAGGAGAGTCGAGACGGATGGAGGGGAAAAAATATAGATACATATATAAATACATACAGCGACAAGTGTAACGAGTGAAGCGGGTAGGTTAGGTAGGTGGGTATAAGGATAACAGACAACAGGAAAATCCTGAGTACAACACATGAACAATACACTCAAGGTCAATTCATATTATACTACCACAATACAATGTACCACCAAGTTACATCACATCACATCAAAAAACACAAAAAATATACCAAGGACAAACATGTTACGCGTATTCATCCTATCTTATCTACACAACCATAGCGGTCCCAAATCCCATGTCATCAACCCTAAACCCAAGCAAGCCACCATTGACCAAACACACCAAAGAGAGAGTCAAGCCAATGGGGTACAAGAGTTGCAAAAAAGGAAGAAAAAACATCAAAGATCATGAAACCAACTAATTCCCCCCATAAAAAAAAAAGCAAATTTATCCATCGTCCCAGTTCATTTTCACCATTATACAAGGCCCCCCAAAACCATTCAGTCAAATTTCCATCATGTTCGTACTTTGTAAAGATCCCAAACTGCGTATGAAACTAGAAGTTCTTTTTTGAAAAAGAAACCCGTTCACAGATGAAACATTGTGAAAAGATTGACCTCACGCTATGATAGGCAAAAGAAAAGAATGTGGAAGAAAATCACAAACGAGAACCGTGGATAACTTTCATGTCAACCGCCAACTCGCTGCCGTGATCAGCCAAGATCATGACGCGGACGGAGCCACGACCAGAGTCGAAGGCATCCTTGAGACGTTGCCAAAGCTTGGATTGGTCAATGACAGGGATGGCTTGCTTGACATCACCAGTCTCAGTCATGGCAACAACTGAATAAGATGTCAGTGAGATATCCAATGAGGATGAGGTGGATAACTACTTACCGGTACCATCTTGGAGATCAAGAACACGGTATTGCTTGAAGACTGGGCCGAGCATGGTTTGGACGACGACACTTGGGCTTGGGTTGGCGATGAATGAGGACTCTTCATGCAATTGCTTGGTGAAGAGGTCGACACCCAAGTATCTGTGTTGACCGGTGGCCGAGGAGGTGGTGATACGGATGACTTGGCAAGGGCGACCTTGAAGGATCAAGAGGTCTCCGACTCGGATGTGGTGGCATGGGATGGTGACGGTGTTGGGGGTGTAGGAAGCTGGCTCGGGGGCGACGGCGGGAGCAGCGCGTGCTGATGCTGGACCCGCTGTTAGCTCAATCTTCTCCTCACTACGTTCAACATGTGGATAATCATGGCGGACGCGAACAATTCGCTCCTCATGACGATGGCCATGGTGATCATGGTGATGGTGATGACGGCCTAAGACACGGTCGGCAGCACGTTGGAGGCCGTGACGGAACGAGTGATAGTGCCCTGCGTGTAGCCCCCGTTGAGTTTTTGGGAATGGAGGGAATAATAGTACTGAGAGAGGAACTTACCATCTTCATCGTAGTAACCCATCTTGTTGGTTGTTGAGCGTGCAGGAGGGACGACGGTTTCTTCTGTAATAGTAATATGTTCGTGACGAGCTGGTGGCTGGTAACGAGGTGCGGCGTCAACGGTGTAGTCGTTGACACGAACTTCTTCTTGGTATGTTTTGGTGGGGCGGAAGCGTGGCGCGTCAACAGTGGTTCCTCCTACGCGGGACTCTTGACGAGCTTCCGATTGGAACTTGTGGGGAGGGTCAACAGTGGTGCTGGTGGAGAGACGAGCTTCTTGGAAGCCGGGGCGAGCTGCTTCGATACGGGGAGGGTCTACGGTGTAGTTGTCCTGGACACGAACCTCTTCACGGTAAGTAGGCTGGAACTTAGCTCGGTATTGACGTTCGGAAAGGTCAATCTCAGACTCGTGTGAGTGGTGGTGACGGTGTCGTGGAAGCTCGATGGTAATATCAGAGTGAGACGAGGATTGGTTGTCGTAACGGCGACGTTGGTGTGGCCCGAGAGAGACTACTGATGCAGATGGCTTGTGGTGGTGATGATGGTGGTGACGGTGGGGAAGTTCGATGTCAAGGTGGGTTGAGGTGTGTTTGTGTTTGACGGGTCTGTTTGGGAGAAGAAGTAGGTGTCAGTGGATGTGGATGGAAGATGTTTGTTGGACAAGTCGGTGTAGGTTACTGTGTCAACAGACGAGGGAAAGAAAAAGAGGGAAGAAAAGGGAAGCTCTTGATGGAGACGCCCGACCACCTCGACACGAGCCAGTGGGGCCGGCAGATCCGCCCAGGTCTGGTCCGGGCTCAAGCTCCATGTTGACCTCAACCTGGGGCGACCGCAGGCAGAGCTTGGGACTTGGGGTTGCACGTTGCACCCTCATCTGCTGTTGATGTGGACGTGGAACCTTGCGGGTGCCGTGGCCACGACAGGGTGCGAGCAGCTCTGGTGGGTGCTGCCAACGCTTGGGCTGGCTGCTGCTGCCAGCTCGCGGTTTCTTTGGGATATGAAGCCATTTCAAACCCTCGAGCCACAGCAAAAAGCAAGCAGGAGAGCAATTGACTCGAAACCAGCTTCCAAAGCCGCACCCAGAAAAAGCAGAAAAGACGTAGAAGGGCTTGGCCGAAGCGAGTGCAATGCCGCAAGTCCCATTGAGGGTGTAGATGCAGGTAAAATTCGCAGAAAAAACACACGCAGACTGATGGTCCGCGGAAGTAGATGGGGACAGATCAACTTACCGGCTTAGTTGAAGCTTGACGTCGTCGTGGTGGTGATGACCTGGGCGTGATACGTGGCTGTGGCCGTCGTCTTCACGGGTGATGTGAACCTCTTCGGTTCGGTAGGTCTCTTCGTGGGCGCGTGGAGGAGGGAGTTCAGCGGAGTAGGAAGTCTGCTCTTGGTGTAGTTGTCCTTCCCGTCCGACGCGCTGCTCCTCGTGCTGAAGCTGGATTTTACCCTCGATATGGGTTTGCTCAGTGGTCTTAACGGCGTCGCTCCGGTACGACGACGGGAAGATGCTGAAGGGGATCGGGACGCGGGCGTCAAAGTCCAGGTTGCCGACTTTGAGGTGCGAGAGATTCTCTTCTCGAATGCCTTTCGACGGGACGAAAGGAAGACAAGAAGGGGTCTCTTGCTTCTTGGGTGAAAGAAGAGGGAGGAAGAGAGCGCGTTTGACGACGCTTCTTGACTCAGTTCTTCAATTGAGACAAAAAGTGAGGCTTTGGGGATGCGAGATTTGATAGCGTAGGGCTGACTGGAATGCGATGAGGAGCAGATGAGGAGGAGGAATGGAAGAAGAGAAGAGTTTGAGGTGTGGAGGGTGGGACGAGGTTGAGGCCGGGGGGTCAGTTTAAAAGCCGTATCGCCGTGTGTTTGATTTGTTTACTGCGCGGGAGGCACGACCTGATGGGCTAGCCAGTTTGGGGTGAGGGGGGGTGGCTGGAGCGAGAATCGTCCACCAATTAGAGCGACCGAGGTTGCTTGGGCAATGTGGTTGGACAGGTGGACGGGTAGTGTGTAGCGAATAAATCGACGGTTGGTGTGCGGAAAAAGGAAGGTTGGGCGTGAGGTTGGGGATGTGATATGGAGTTGAAGGTGCGTATGTACGAGAACGGTAGCCTGTAGCAGATAGAAGATACCTAGCGTGTATGAGGTAGCAGGTAGCAGGTATTACTGGTACTGCAGGCAGCATCTGGGGCTGGAGTATCCCGTACATACATGAGCTCTACATACATCTACTTGGTACAATACTGTAGTATCTTGTAGTATGGAGTATCTTCGTAGTATGGAGTATCTCCGTACCTCCCACATATGCAAGTACAAACTCAATTAATCAGGTTTTGTTCGATTTCTACGTACGAGGATGAGTAAGGTCTGCATTTGGTAGCTGTCTCAGCGACTACTCTCAACCTGTTTTCGCCCATCAACTCGGGCCTCCTCCACAGTACCAGACGCTCGAGTGCTACGTGCAGTGCTACGTGCCCTATGGCGACAATTTAGGGCTTATCAACAGCTTCAAAGCTCTGGCTCGCTGTCGTATCGCTTCATCCAGTGTCGTCCAGCTTCATGCCGCTTCATACATCTTCATAAACCTTCATAGGGCCTAGCCCTATTCTATAAACACCCTCTCTCCTCAGCCAAAAGTCAATTGGGTGGTATACTGGGCACTACTGCACCTCATCACAGCTCGTCCAGGGGTAGCGAGGTATCAACAGGGATGAGCTTGGTGAAGCTCCAACCTCTCCGCAGCTACAGAAGCACACCGTGACCCCATCCCCATCACAGCTCCGGAGCAAACTGGGTAGCATTGCATCGCCAGAGAACAACTCACATCCAAAGACAACACCAATACACAGCCCCATCTGCATCTCGCACCTGCTGCATTGCATCGTACCATCCCCATCTCAATGGACATCTTCAGCTCAGACTCTGTCGGTCAGGACGCTGCGTTCTCTGTGATCAGCATCGAGAGAGTCCAGATTCGTGGTGTTCGTCTCCACTCGAGCTTCCCAGCTTCATGCATAATCCTGTCGTGGAACGCGTTGACTGGCTCAACCGCAAATCCTCCCTTCTCACTCTCACATGCGACCGCTGTCAGCAGCCAGCCACCGAAATAATAGATCCACCTCTGGGGAACAAGAGTTTCTGCAAAAGCATATCGAGAGCATCAAATCCCCAGAAAGCGTTTTCATACGAGTCTGGAAGGCTCCGACGACGAAGGCGACGACAACAACAACAAGTTCAACAACAACAATTCGGCAACTCACATCCAAAAGCGAGCTTGGGTCTGGGTCTGGGTCCGAGTCTTGGGAACCAGACAAGCCGAGACTTCCCGGCGCCAACGAAATTGGATTCAGGTACGAGCACCGTTTCCCATGGCAACACCGGCCACAATCTCCGTAAGCTTTTTTCACTTTCAAGGCATCGGACGTTTATCCAGAATAGCGTTCTTTCCTTCCCACACCTCCGCACTTATTCCTTGGTTTATGATAACCTTATCACGGGGCCTCGCGCTCGAATCGTGTCAAAGGTGGGATGAACTATTTATGAATTCCAAGCATTCAAGGAAAGAATTATTGATTCTTGATTCTCGTCAAAACTCAATTCCAGGTCGAGGCGTTGGCCTTCCAATTGTGACAATTGGAAATGTTGAATGGACCAGAAACCACGACGGATGAAACTCATGGACGACACAACCAGTCGAAGAAATCCCAATTTCGCTACAATCGCTTTAATTTGTCTCAAGCACCAGAACCATCACCAGCGTTATGACAGTCTTCTCGAGTTTGGAACCGGAAGTTGTGCTCAAATCACGAATTATGCACGAGCGGGGTGCGACCTTTCCACCGCTATCGAAAAGACTCAGCTGGAAAGGTCTCGTTGGTCTAGGCTTCTCCCAAATATTTCACATTCGTTGGCATGATAGCTGATAATGTTTTACGGGTAAGGACAACATTCATCCAACGATGGCAACTATCCAAGATCAAGTCCCTCCTTCCCTCCACGAGCGCGCAGACGAGATTCACAAACCCCCCACCCTCACAGGTGATTTGCGAGAAGTTCGCCAACTTGTCTAGCTTCATCGCATGGACAGATATCCAAAGGCCAGGAAAAGCGAAAGCGCTTTCTGGAGGCCTTCGTGTTTCCTTGCTCAGACATTCGAACATTCCCTGAAGAAGACTCCACCTCGGGTCTCAAGACATCACAATAATGAAATCGTGGATCGAACGAAGCTTGATCTCATGGGCAGACGTGTCCATGCAGAGAGAGGGGTTTTTCACGAGAGTCATGTCTCAGCGGTGTATCTATCACAAGAAACCTATACGCCCAACTCGATTTTTGTTTTCAAAGGGGAGCGGAACTGGAAGCGGAACTCCTTTCCATTTTTCAACTGAGGTGACCCTTTTGGGAATTGTACAGTCATAGGCCAGCTCATACATGAAAGAGGTGGAAAATTATGCCTGGAGTTAACTAACTCTTATCTTTTGCCAGCGTGTCAAAGTGATAGTGGGAGGGTTCAAAAGCTCTGATTCGAAAGGTCCCTTTTTCGGGGGCTCGAGAGAACTAATTGCAGCAGATTCCATCTGTTGCTCTCACTCTCAAAAACCGTAAGATTTTCTGTCTTCTGTTTCTCATTTATTACGTATATTTTCTTTTGATTATGAGCACGGAGGTGTCGATAATGGGCCTATGTCTTTCACATGTATCAGAGTCTGCAACGTATACTCAGCATCTATTCTACCAGCTCTTCCCAGAAAGTGCTCAATCATCTAGACTATTTCACATGACCATCAAAGAATTACAAATATTATTATGCTCCTGTTTTGCGATTCAACTCTTCAAGATCAGGCCAATAATATGCCATCTCGTCCAAGTCCATCATATGTTTTCCCGATGAATATACAGATACATTTCTTCTATGCAGGTTCCCCTTATGCCTCCAATCGTGGCCATTTCGCGCTCCAGTGTAACCAATTAACCATACCGCACGGTATTATAGAACTTGAACAGTCACCCTAATATTCATACTCATTCTCCCATCACGATAACCCTTTAAGGTTCTATATCAACACTGACGTGCAGCGGCACAACGCCATGGATCACCAATAGGAAGTGTTGCAGTAAGACAAAGACGCTAACCTACGACCACACGATTCTCATGACAAACGGCTTTTTTTCCCTCACGATCACGATGAATCGCCAATCCGTCCATTTCTCAAGCTTTCGATAGTACGAAACATCGTCTTCCCATCTTATCTATCTTCTCTCCATTTCGTACTCCCCACCATATCTTTGTTCAGTGAAGCACGAGAAATCCTAGTCTCTGATTCGTCGGATATTAATACTGTGAGTTCTGGAAAAAGCATGATTGGAAAAGTATCGTTTAGACTAGCCATCCGAGTCGGGTTTCTGCTTTGATACGATTGGTTGATTCAGACTAACGCAATGGGAATGTACTATTCCATTCACTTCTACCATTTTCATGCTGGATGAACCTCTGATATCCCATTCAAAAGCTCCCCCTATCACGTCTACAATACCCCCCAAGAACTCAGCAAGTCCCAGGAAAACGGGACAAGAATAAGCCCTTCAACGTTCCCGTCTTGGTACCATTTTCCACATCCACAAAAATTTGAGGCGACCAAACGGATATCGTCGTTTCCACCCCGCGCCAAGCCAGCCAAGAATTGGGGTTAACCTCCAACAGGTTATATCGAATTTAGTAAGAGACCGCAGCCAATTATCACCATTCCCATCAACATCACGCTGCAATCACGCTTTCGTGTGCGGTGCAATCATCCTCTTGGAATTGCATGGCAAAGCGGGGAGTGACAGCGTAGCCTTCCAATACCATCATACCCCTCTACCCCTCCCTATCTTTTGGAACAAGCTACAAAGCACGATGTGTTGCACAGTGACATTCTGACAAGGCGTAGCTTTCCCTTCTTGCTCTTACTCAAATCCCCAGATCCCACAAGCGAAACTTTCGAGGAGTGTCTGTTTTTGGAAAGGATAGAATTCTTTGCCCGTAACGAATGGTTATTATTCCGACGACTCAAACTGATGGCCACTCACAGCCTGTTGCCATCACAGGTCAAGAAGGCCAGGATCCTGACGAACCGCCTATACCGAGGCCCCCTTCTTCGGTCGTCGAAGAAGTAAAGCCTAAGAATCCGTCGTCGGTTACGGAGGAGATTGATATTGGTACTGCTAGTATTAGTACTGATGTTGAGACGAGAGATGGAGGGACTTCTGTTAATCCCGCCTTCAGTGGCAGTGCAAATACTGCGCATATCCATGATTGGAAGTGTGTAGCTGCCTTCTTAGAAGTTGATACCAAGTACGTTGTTTGTATCTGAAGTGTTTTTCGGGTTTCCTAACGAATACAGAAATGGACTTTCTACTGATGAGGCGGAAAAACGCCTCCAAATTCATGGACCAAACAGCCTAGAAGGCGCGGGACAAGTCTCCATCTGGGAGATTCTACTTCGTCAAGTCTCAAATAGTTTGACTATTGTAAGTAAATCCACAATTCATCTGACCCAAAACTAACAGGAAATCAGGTCTTGCTCATCGCCATGGCATTATCATATGGAACTCTAGATTTCATCGAAGGCGCAGTAATCACCGCCGTAATCCTCCTCAACATTATCCTCGGGTTCGTTGTTCATCACCATCTCATTCTTACTCCATCACTAATCACTTCTCCACAGCTTCGGCCAAGATTTCCGCGCGGAGAAGTCCATGCAATCCTTACTCAGTCTCGCCGCTCCATCCTCTCGCGTAACTCGTGACTCCAAGACCGTCCAGATCAGGGCGGAAAATCTGGTAATTGGAGACATCGTCAATCTAGCCACCGGAGACGTCGTCCCCGCCGATTTACGACTGCTGGAAACTTCAAATCTGGAAATCGACGAGGCGAATTTAACAGGCGAGTCTCTGCCCTCGCCTAAAGATGCGACAGTCATCATGTCTCGGCAAAAAGCCGAGGCCCCTATTGGTGATCGCTCGAATATGGCGTATTCCTCGACAACTGTTACGCTTGGGAGGGCAATCGGTATCGTCGTCGCGACGGGGATGAAGACTGAAGTTGGGAATGTGGCCGATTTATTGCGAGGACCGAAGGTCTCTACGAGTTCCAACCCGCTCATCCGAATCGGCCAAAAATTGAAGAGTGGAACCAAAAGTATCCTTGGTCTAGTGGGAACCCCGATGCAAATCAAACTTTCCAAATTCGCCATCCTGCTCTTTGCTTTGGCGATCCTGCTCGCTATCATTGTTTTCTCGGCTAATAAGTGGCATCTCGAAAACGAAGTCGTGCTTTATGGGATCTGTGTGGCGGTTGCGGTGATTCCTGAGAGTCTCATTGCGGTGATGACCATCACGAGTGCGCTTGCTGTTAAAGCTATGGCGGCGAGTAATGTTGTCATTCGCAGGATGTCGTCGCTGGAAGCGATTGGTGGGGTGACGAGTATCTGCTCTGATAAGACGGGAACGTTGACGCAGGGCAAGATGTTTGCTCATAAGGTTTGGGTCCCTAAAATGGGCGTTTTGAGTATCAAGGATTCGACCAATATTCTTGATCCCGAAGATGGGAAATTGGAGATTGATGGGAAACCATTAGATAAAGATGATGTTGGTGTACGAGACAAAGTCACTGCGCTACTACCCGTTCTCGATGCTGTAGCATTATGTAACTTTGCAACAGTATCACAGACAAACGACAAGGAAAACGAAACCATCGGCTCCTTTGAGAAATCCACAGATGGAAACCTCTTACAATGGACCGCCCACGGGGACCCGACTGAAATTGCCCTCCAAGTCCTCGCCATGCGACTCAACCGTGGAAAAGCGACGCTCTTGCAAACCGGCTCCCTCACTCATATAATGGAACATCAATTCGACTCCAGCCTCAAGCGAATGTCGATGGTCTACAAAAATAACAAAGACACCACACTCTCTGTCTTCGCGAAAGGAGCTACGGAATCTATACTCCCCCTCCTTGATATCTCTCCGAATAATCTGTCGATTATAAATACCATGGTTGAGACGCTCGCTAGTGACGGTCTTCGCGTCCTTTGTATCGCCTCGAAAACCATCCCACAACAGGAAATGAGACGTTGCAAAGACCGATCCTTCATCGAATCAAACCTCACTCTCCTAGGCCTCGTAGGACTCTACGACCCCCCTCGTCCCGAGTCCCTCGCTGCTGTACAAACCTGCCACGCCGCCGGCATCAAAGTCCACATGCTAACCGGCGACCACCTGGTAACCGCCTCATCAATCGCTCGCACAGTAGGGATCCTCTCGTCCACCCACTCCAGCTCAGCCGTCATGTCCGCCGCGACCTTCGACGCGCTCACGGACGACCAGATTGACAATCTGCATGAGTTGCCGAGTGTCATTGCGAGGTGTAGTCCCACGACCAAAGTACGGATGGTGGATGCGCTGAAGCGCCGCGGTGCGTATTGTGTTATGACGGGTGATGGGGTTAATGATGCGCCGGCGCTGAAGAGGGCGGATGTGGGGATTGCGATGGGGGTTACGGGGACGGATGTTGCGAAGGAGGCGGGGGATATGGTGTTGACGGATGATCATTTTCAGAGTATTGTAAAGGCGGTTGAGGAGGGGAGGAGGTTGTTTGATAATATTCAGAAAGTGAGTCGCTCTTTTCTTCATTTCCTGTTTTTCCCTTTTCCCCTTTTCAGCTTTACGTTTTGGAATGTTTTCGAAGAGCAGCGAGAGACTCCTTCATTGCCTTACACATCCTATAAAGAGTTGCTATACAAATGGTCTGCCAGAGCACACGCAACTTCCTTGTCCCAGGATATCTAGGTCAATGGGAAGTTACAAGTTTTGGTTACATTCCAACGGTACTCACACAATCAGTTTCATTTCACGAGGCTCTTATGATAAGAGTCTCTTGACTTGTAGAGACATTCAGAGCAACGATCGCAATTGGAATATGTCACTAACATAGACTACACAGTTCCTAATGCACCTCCTCATCTCCAACATCGCCCAAGTAATCCTCCTCCTCATCTCCCTCGCCTTCAAAGACCCCTCAGGGTCCTCCATCTTCCCCCTCTCGCCCCTCGAAATCCTCTGGGTCAACATGATCACCTCCTCCTTCCTCGCCCTAGGTCTCGGCATGGAAGAAGCCCAAGCCAATATCATGACCCGTCCCCCACGCTCCCTCAAAACCGGCGTCTTCACCCGCGAACTCATCGTCGACAAGATGCTCTACGGCTCCTGCGCAGGCATCCTCTGTCTCCTCTCTTTTATCGTCGTCATCTACGCTCCTGGACAGGGAAATGCGAGTCTAGGCTCCGGCTGCAATAAGGGGTGGAATGAGAGCTGTGAGATCGTCTTCCGTGCACGTGCTACTGTCTTTGCACTTTTATCTTTCTTACTCCTCATCACTGCGTGGGAAGTTAAATCGTTCTACCGCTCGCTTTTCAATCTTGATCCCGACCGCTTTCCGGGGAGGTTTAGTGTGTGCAAAGCACTGGTTTATAATCGATTCCTCCTCTGGGCTGTGGTGGCGGGTGCTGTGATTACCTTCCCTGTGGTGTATATTCCGGTCGTTAATACGACGGTTTTTAAACATCGGGGGATTCGGTGGGAGTGGGGGGTTGTGGCGGTGGGGGTTGGGGTGTATATGGCGTTTGTGGAGGCGTGGAAGGGGGTTAAGAGGAAGTGGGGGATTGGAAGTGCGGGGGATGGGAGGGCTGAGGTGACAGAGGGGGGAGGTATGGTTTAGGTCTGGTGGTGTTACTGGTGTGATGTGAGGTGGTATGTTCTGCTGTGGTGGTTGAGAGACGCGAGAGTTGGGGATTGAGATGGGCTTGCTGGTTGCAACAGCGGGGTGATGGCGGTATGAATGATGAGTAAATTGATATGGATGGGATTGGTAGGAGAGAGTGGGTAGGTTAAATTGGACGCTCGTTACTGATATTGGGATATGTCGTGGGATGGGGTACACACTCGTTTTGGAACTTGGTCGGTTTACGGGATTATGTCTTTTCTTCTCACGTTCACTATCTGGGATATTGGATTGGATCGGATCTAGTTTAGTAACAGCGTACATATATCTCTCAATGCGAAACTTTGACATTGTGTGGAATGACTTGTCTTGTTGGGATGGCTTTTGTGATGTTTGTAACTGAAAGGTGGTTCCTATGTTAGGAATGAGGTGGTTATTAATGTATATTCAAGTGAATGGGTAGCCGCATTCAGGTACCTGCGTACGGAGAGGCCCTTCACGTGATATTTCTGGGACTCTCTATGGATACCTACACATATTATTAGCATTCCTGGGAATTTCTACCTACTAACTAGACAGTATACAAAAGCGCTCGTAATTAATACTCTACCGGCCCCGGGACAGCTCTGGGTTAGGTGACGTTCCAAATGGGAAATTCCATATATTCCATGGAATATATGCCTCTGGAATGGAATAATTCCAGCAAATACTGAAATGGAATGGAATTCTTCCAGGCGACGGCTCTGGAATCGAATGGAATTCCACTTGCCGAACGTTGATTATTACTTTAGCCTGTACACGCTACATAAATAGTAATCATATCAAAACCTCGGTACAATTAACTCTATTTAACGTATCCCGGTAATGGATATTAAAATTGGAGATTATTCCAAGCTATTTGTATACCATAACGAGTTTAGTTGTACCAAACCTTTAGAAAACACCGTTTTGATATAGGTGTTTTCAGAGTGATAAATACATCGCTTACGATCTGAATCCCCTTGCATTATGTAACCTTAGACCAAGGGTCCGGAAAAGGGAAGCTATTGAATCACTAGAACCAATCTAGCTCAGCAGCTCGAGGTTCTGCAAACTCGCCCATTTGTACTATGTGTACATACATCCACAAGTCACACACGGCACCACATCTGCAGGTCTCAGAACAGTCAGGTGATATCGTCATCCATACTATTTACTGTTTAGCACCATTCCACCAAACTCGGTACCCCCAAAAAACAATCGGAATAATCATACGAAAGAAATGCCGCGGTGTGTCGGGGAAGGAGGTTGTTGATGAAGGATGCATGGATATGATATGGAGATGGATTAGTGAACAATAACCCGGACGTCGTACGGGAAGAATGGAAGAGAAGGGGATTACTACACTTTTTGGAAGTAGAGGGAATGGGAAGCTTGTCCAACGGTGGAGATTAGTGAACTAGATGGATGGATGGATGTCTGACAGAGGATGGTGGTACGGATGCGTGGGTTGAGGATGGGGTATATATTGATGTTATCCTCTTCTCATCCTCTCCTCCAATTCTTCTGAAACTCAGCAGTGACATTTGTTATAAGGAATATCATCTTATTAGAGAACGATCCAAGAACGAAGGAAAAGGAAACAAAATGCCAATTCTAAAATTCTACACCTCCCCAAACCAACTCTCTTCCGTGGAGAAACAGGACCTGGCAACGGTTCTCACGAGCAAATACGCAGAACTTATGCCCGCGTTTTTTGTGAACATCATGTTTCATGAAGTCAGCATCTCCCCTTCCCTCCTATCCCTGATCTAGTTACATCCCATCTCTTTTCATTACAATCACTTCCTCCCTCCTCTCCTCGCACAAGATACGGATTCTGATATCAAAAATGACAGCTCCCAACCGACTCCTTCTACATGGCCGGCATTCCCACCGATGGCAAATTCCTGCGTCTGACAATCGAACACACAGCCGTGAACTGGGATACTAACAAACCCGCGGACCTCACGCAGTCGAAGAGGTTCCTGGATTTTGTGGGGAGGGTGTTGCAGGAGAGGTTTGGGGAGAGGGGGTGGAGGTTTGTTGCCCTTTTCCTTTTATCTTGAGTTGGCTTGTTAGCTATCTTCTGGGGGGCAAGGGGGGGGGTTGATTGAGAGGAAAGAATGTGCTGACGAAACGTAGATGGGAATTTAGTGTCTCGCAGACTTTGAGGGAGTTGTGGCGTATTCAGGGGTTGGAACCTCCGCCTATGGGGAGTGAGGCGATGGAGCTTTGGAAGGAGGGGGGTGTTGCTGTGCCGTGGAAGCTTTGAGGTTGTAGGACTTGGGAGTTGGGAGGGGATGGTAGAAGGTTGGGTGTGAGTTGTGGGTGAGGTGATAGTATGGAAGATATGGTTTGTTTGAGTTTAGAATATCATGAATGGCAGAATGAATGGTTTTGAAAACACCCCGGCCTCTTAACTGCCGTACTTTTACTTTCTCGGTGTGATGTGGACGTCACTTTTTCGCCTAGCTAAAATTCGGGACTCTATCACAGAATTCTCGTGTGTATTAGAACTTGAAAGCAATTAATAACAGGCGTATTATATAAGTTATAGACGTATTATGTAATTTATAGACGTATTATATAAGTTACAGACGTATTATATAGGTTATAGACGTAGGGATGCGACAACTCAACACCTGTACGCGGTGCATCCTACGAACCTCTAGCTAGGGCTCGCTACCCTAGTCTAGAGAGCTAAGACTGAGTTACAACGATGGAAAAGGGGTGGTCGTCGTCGCGATCGAAGGGACCGAGGGTCCTGCGCGCAAACTCCCTACAAATTAAGACAACTACTACTAACCTTACAGAGCCCGAACTATTAATTTTAATACTAAATTTATTAAACACTACCTACGAGCACTCACGCGCGCAATTACGAGCTCTCTAGGGACATTTTATAGAGTTTTTACTTACTCTTAGCGCTCCCTCCCCCTCTTGTATAAAAACTTAAGGTTTACCCCCTTATATACCTAGAGGCTCCTCGGAGCCCCTCTCGTATATACTCGACGAAGGCTGTCGAGCTACTTACTAAGTAGCGCCTTTTTTCTATAAGACCTCGACCGATATAGCCCCTACTCTATTTATATATATAGAAAGTGTAACCGTGTGGAGTGAACCACTGCTTGCTGTGATGAATACGGAGTCAAACGGAAACTGCTGTATTGAGCGAACAACTAAGTGAGGAGAGAAGAGAGTTCCAGAGGAACGGAAGCTTAAATACAGGATGCCAGCGGCACGCACGTGCCGTGCTACACGTGCCCAGACCCCAGTCCCTCCAACTCCGTAACAGGAAAGCAGTCTTCTAATATAAATACGAGACTCCCTTCGGATACCCTACTAAGTAGCGCCCTTTTTACTAGAACCTCGACCCTATACGCTATAGATAACCTAACCTAGGTAGAGGTCCTTGAGGCCGAGAGTAGGGGCACCTAGTAGATAGATAAGTATATAATAGAGGGCTAAAAAAAGGGTTTCTATAGTCTTACTATTACTCTAGTTTTTTCCCCTTATAGTTTTTTAAAGTATACTACTAGCTTCCTAGGTAGGATAGTAGTAGTGAATATGTAATAAGAGAGGATCTTTTCTTTTATCTATATATAAGGACTACTCTAGAAGTAGCGCTTTTCTTTAACCTGTTATAATAGGTAGTAACCCTACCTATGGCCCCTATATAGCCTAGGGCACCCCTCTAGCGTCCTTTGTCTTATAAGGGAATCCTACTAGGATCTAGCCTTTATGTGTTAGTTTCCGCCGGACGTTAAATAGTAATAAATAAATAAATAAATAAGTTATAACTTAGACGTATTATATAAGTTACAGACTTTAGACGTTTGGCATACAAAAGGAGTTCTAATGAAGTGTTTATTAAGGCCCCCTTTACGAGACTTAGTGGAACTATATAGATGGGTACCTTCCAGAGTATAAGCTAGGAAGTACGAAAAAGACGTGGACTCTAAAGTGGGTGTTGTAAAATCATTGGTAGCAGATGTCTTCTTGGTGAACCTACCGTCGTCAAGGGGCCTTTTTACGTTTCAGTATGGCCCAAAGTCGGTCATACCATTCTACCCAGTTCTTCGCTGGTAACGCTCACATCGATCGAGAACTTACGGTTATGGGACAAAGACTAAATTATATACTCACGAAATGGGAGCTGTCCCATGTCTAATAATGCTGTACAATGCAAAAGTAACTTTAAGATCAAGGAGTGATATGGCTAGCTACACTGTAACACAACCTGTTTCTTGATACGTTGGCTCCAATCTACTAATGAAGTGGGGGTGGGAGAAGATACTCAAACGCGCGCCTGTTACCATGGGCAAGCGATCTCTTCCGAAGGTGTGATTTAATGCAAAAACTGTCGAGCTCCACGCGATGCAAACTCCAGTCTGAGGGGGCGTCACTTAAATCCCAATATGATATCGATTCGCGACCGTTGGGTAAGTGAAAAAGGTACCTTGATTTCACTTAAATTAAACCTATATTTTATTGTGCAATGCAGGAACAGCCTCATCACATTAGCCGGTCAACCCACTCGCCTCCTCATCGACGAAACCATCATAGCCGTTTGTAAATTTGCGCAAGAGCTCGCGCATTTGGCTCTTACATCTACTGCCGATTAGTACAAGTACAATTCCAAGAGCATATACTGGAACCTTCTCAAAGCCGTGGTGGACGCCAGAGTTGAAAGAGTTAAGGAAGAAAATGACAGCCAGGCAACGCCAAATTACACTACACGAACAAACGTCAAAGACGGAATACGTGCGAGCTCGAAACACCTATTTCGAAGTACTCAAAAGAACTAAAACAGCACACTGGAACCATTTCCTAGAAAGAGAAGACCCGAAAGCAATCTTCAAGGCCATGAAATACACCAAAGACGGGAAAACACAGAGAATGCCACACATCAAAGATCAGCAACAGAACCTCCAAACCACATTCGAAGGCAAATGTAAAGCGTTTAGAGAAACTTTATTCCCCCCACCACCCACGGCTACTAGCGCAACATGGACCAACTACACGCCAAGCAAAAAGTGGGAATGGCCTGAACTCACAAGAACTGAATTAGAGTACGCATGCTCTTCAAAGATCCTATCAAAATCGCCAGGGCCAGATGGAATCACACAAGACATCATTACTAAAGCCTACGAAGCTATCCCTGAAACCTTCTTCTGTGTCTACGCTAGGATGATTAACACAGGGTACCACCCCAAGTGCTGGAAAGAAGCAACTGGAGCAATTCTACCAAAAGCCAACAAAGACGACTACTCCCACCCTAAATCCTACCGAATCATCACTCTCCTGAATTGCCTAGGCAAAGTCGCTGAGAGAATTATAGCACAACGCCTCAGCCACCTCGCAGAGACCACAGACCTCCTCCACTCCTCACAAATGGGGGGAAGACTCAAAAAGTCTGCCATCGACGCTGATCTTCTATTCACAAACGAAGTTGAGAATCACAAGAAGTACGGATGGAAAGCCTCCACCCTGTTTATCGATGTCAAGGGAGCCTACGATCACGTAGCCAAGCAACGACTCTACAGGATTCTCCAAGAACTACAACTCCCCACCAACCTAATAGCATGGGTATCAACATTCCTCAACCAACGTAGGCTACGACTCGCTTTTGACGGTCAAATCCAGGAGTTCTCACCTAACAACTCTGGGGTACCACAAGGCAGCCCTGTATCTCCAATCCTGTTTCTCATCTACATTCGCGACCTTTTCAAGTCTACTACAATTACATGGATCTCCTACGTCGACGATATTTCCCTTACAACAGCCTCCCGCCACCTCAAAAACAACATTAAAAGACTAAAAGCAGAAGCCACGAAACTCTACAGGCTAGCAAATGAGAACAGCATTGCCTTCGACCTCGATAAAACAGAACTCATACACTGGACCAATTCAAAGGACACAGAAGAATTCACACTCAACCTCCCCAACCACCAAACCGTTCACCCAAAACAATGCATTAAGTGGTTAGGCATCTACTTTGACCCAGCATTATCTTTTAAGCACCACGTCGCTACCAAGGTAGCAAAAGCTAGAGGCGCATTTTTCAGGATGTCAAGGCTAGCAAACAACTCCAAAGGACTTACACCCTTTGCCCTCCGGCAGCTGTACACAGCATGCGTTACAAGTATCGCAGACTATGGGTCAACCATCTGGTGGCGAGGCCAAGCACAATTCACTACTCTACTTCAAAAACTCCAAAACCTTGCAATTAGAAAGATATTAGGGGTTTTCAAAACCACTCCTATCCTCCCAATGGAAGTAGAAAGCGCCCTCCCACCTCCTGAAGTTCGCCTCTCCTCCTCCTTGAGGATGTATGCTTTCCGTCTACTCAAACTCTCACCATCACACCCAGTCAACCACGCTATCGACAAGCTCCTCAATACTCAAGCAACTCCAAGGAAAAAGAAGCCGGCAACTCCTCAACTACAGCGAATCCACCGCTCTATTAGCAACTTATACAACCTTGAAGACCTTGAGCAAATACACCACTTCCACTTCCCTCCATGGGAAAGAGAAACTCCTTACAAGGTTCACATTAGCAAACTTTCAAAAGAAGAGGAAACTAAACTTCACCTTCGTCTACTCCAAAACAACTCAGATAACAGCATTTTCATCTACACAGATGCATCCTCTACAACAACAGAAAATAGCCAAGGAATTGGGGTAGGTTTGTCTGTAATCTCACCTCAATCAAACAGAATCCACTACGAAAAGAAAGTCAACATTGGACCAAACAAGCTCGTCTACAACGGTGAAGTTGAAGGGGCCACGCTAGCAGTTGAATACGCTGCCAAGCACGCTAGACCAGGGATCCATTTCCACATCTACTCCGACAACCAGGCAGGTTTACGGAGGCTAAAAACCACATCAGATAACCCAGGGCAAGAGTGCCAAATCAGAGCTATCACAGCTGCCCGGAAGGCAGTTAGCAAGGGAGCTACTACCACAATTCACTGGGTACCAGGTCACACCGACATTCCAGGAAATGAGAAAGCAGACAAGCTTGCAAAAGCCGCCACCACAATCCAACCATCCACTCAACTCACTAGCTTTGCTATGCTAGGAGTCAAGATCAGGCAGACCCAGAACAAAGAATGGCGTCAAAAGCTTACTACACCCCCCCGGCACACAGAACCATCAACTAACCAACACTCGTATCGAAGGGAATTCCCATGGAAGATTCTGTCGAAACCTTGCGTCCCCCAAGGAACAAAAAGAGAGATAGCCAGCGCCTTTTATCAGCTTAAGCTAGGCCATGGATACTTCAAATCATACCTACACAAGCTCGGCCACACTACCAACAACCGCTGTAGATGTGGAAGACAAGAGACTCCCACTCACCTCCTTCTTAGCTGTCCAGAAACTGGGGATGCTAGGAAAGTACTAAAGCGCAACCTCCTCAAGCATCATATTCGAGAGTTCACCATGAAATCCCTCCTTCACACCGCCAAAGGAGTCGAGGCCACACTTGACTTTATTCGAACCACCAAAATCGCCACTAGAATATGGCACACACAACGCGCAACTGAGGATGAGAACGAAGATGAGGACGAGGAAGACGAGGACGAGGAAGACGAGAACGAGGAAGTGTAGCGTACAGGGCGTGAAACGAGGGGGCGTACTACAACATAACAACTTTTCTTTTGTCATAACCAGAAGCCTAGCTGCTTCCAACAACCCAAGAACTGTAATGACCATAACCCCCTTCTCAAACATGTATTTAGTACAGCTTTACTCATCTGTTGGAGGGAAACCCCCAGCCGTGCTACTATAGTCTCAGACTCACACAGCACGTTGAAAGGAATAATAATAATAATAATAATAATGATTAGTACAAGTATCTCCAGTGTTTGATTGTTTCTAGACTGACCTTAATACCAGAATAACCTGTTTTGGGTCTACAACTGCTGCGATAAGATCTGCTCGCCTGTTAAGATACGGTTAGGAAGCTGTTCTGAGAGAGAGCCGCTAGGTCAAAGATCCACTCACAATGCATATAGTTTATGCCGATCATAAAAGTCATCCCGTGGCTCCGAAGCACCAAACTGTTCCTTGTACAATTCTATGAAATCCATGCCAAGAGCGTACCTAGGACTTCCCATACATTGAAGATCCACTATGGCGCTGTGAGCTCTCATAAATAATCAGTAAACCACAATGTGCATGGCTGACTTACTTTCGTTGTGCCCGTAGAAGCATACAGGGTCGAATAAAATGGACCTTTTGGTGTTGACATCAACATGTACAATACCATCCCACAGATCTCCGTGGCAGAGAGTTGGTTTGATGTTCCTTCCACCGGTTTGCAGAGGACGAAGAAGCTTTGCAATCACTTTCTCACAAAACTCCTCACCTAAAGCTTGCAACTCTCTATCCTCTCCATGAACCTTTTGGACTTCGGTCAAATCAGCATGCCACTGACGAGAAAAAAACCTCTCCCAATTGTCTGTCCAATTATTGATCATCGGGGGCGGTCCAAAATGGGTAGTGACATGAAATCCAAATTTGCCTGTCGGGGAAACGGATGTTTCGTGCAGTCTCTTCAGGATGGCGAGAAGAGGGAGAATGGGAGGGGATTGAGCGTCTAGATGGAGAAATCTTGTCATGAAAAAGGACTTGGACTTGTTTTTGTTTAGTTTTCCCCATGCAATTGGTGCGACTACATTGTCGGGTATGCAAGTAGCTAATGCTCTTGCGCCATCGTACTCGGCCTCGGCTATTCCAAGCCATTCTTCTTGTTCGATGAGCTAGAATAGCATACGTGATAAGTCGTTGTGTAGGGTAGTGGACATGAATATCGAACACACACCTTGACGAAGAATCGCTGCTCTTCCTCTTCGCCGTCTATTCGCACAATAACCCGCAAACCAACCGACCACTGTTCATGTGTTAGCTCTCATACATTATTTATTCGACAAATCTCCATACCCTTGTTTCCCCATGACGCTCGACAGAAGTCACCTTGCTATTCGGAGGAAGCGCTTGTAAATCTCGTCAGTGAGATCACTTTGGGTGTGCGTCCTCCACATTCTTCTCACCTGCGATAATCGCGTTGTCCAGGGTGCTGTAGTCCATGGCGACAATTGTTCAGATGTGTATCAGATGAATCCAACAAGAATGTAAGGTCTTTTTTCATACGCTAGCTATGGGAGAGTTTCCTGAATCTCGCACCGAGTCACGGCAGGCCTGAAGGTGTCTTCTAGCGAGTGAAAAAGACCCTAAACTCACGGGGAATCCAATGAAACCAAATCTGTGCTTAGACAAATAGGTGAGATTCACTTATACAATGCAACTAATCACGAGATATATGAACTACCCCCACTCAACTCCCGTTAACCATCCAACAACCAACCAACCAACCTCATCCCCTCCCTCACCCCAAAAAATCCCCAAAACCCCCCCACACAAAAAAAATATCCAAAAAATTCCAACTCCCATCTAAAGAGCGCAGAGGATCGAAAACCAGACGAACTGAGTTTTACATTATTATTTTGCTTAGAAGTACTATACGGTTTTACAAGGCTAGTACAATACCTTTGGGCATTTCCGTCGGACCGCTAGACCATTGCAGTTGCCTAGGGTACCACCAACAGGTGCATAATTGGTGGATTTGCTTGAGGGGTGGTTGTCTTGCGTTATAGATGTGTGTGGAGTAGGGTGGGTCTCGGGCCGCTTTTAGCTCTGGAAGGGGGGTAGGGGTTGGCTGTGCTGCATGGGGCAGAGTGCTTATATTCACTGTTGATGAATGAGTTGGGAGGTCAAGGTCCTAATCAAGTGGATATTGCCATACTCAGGTCTCCTTGTATTTAGATTGGCAATAGTCTGTGGACATAATAGACATATATCTTTCTTTCTTGCTAATAATAATCAGGATTAAAGAAAGAGAGCGCTAAGACACCGTATGTTATTAGTACCTAGGTATAAACTCCTAGTAACCCACGTGATTATGCATGGTTCTTAGGGGACGTTAATCTAGTGTGATTATATTAGTCATCTCTATAAGATATGTCTCCCAGTCTAGGTTGAAACCTTATCTTATGTCGCAATACATCTTAAACTAATCTGGTGTCTTATATACCAACCAGCACAGTAGGTTATATTCGTCTTGATTACTTTTGACATCTTCTAAAGCATACTGTAAGCGAATCACAAGTAAGCCGTCCCAATTACATGTACCGTTATGATAAAATAACCAAATTGCGACTGAAAAAAATATACCGCCCCAAAACTTCTTCATTCATCTGATTTATTTCTCGTAAAAGTCGTTCTTATTTGTCATCATCATCACGCACCTTATTCTTCCCTTTCAAACTTTCTTTACCTCCTCTTGACCTTAGTACATTCTCATCAAAAACCTTTGTCTTTTTTTCAGCCTTCCCGAGAAATTGCAATTCCTCGTTGAGAATCGGCTGTATTCGCTCTCCCACAACTGATGAATAAGAGTTCCGTTCATTTTGAAGGTGGCCAGTACCCCTTTGAATAGAATTCGTATCATCTCCTTTCGTAGGATTGTCCAGGAGTATCTCGCTAGCATCTTTTGACAGAACTTGGCCATCAATGATGCATCTGAATGCCGCATGATCTGGTCCAAACAGGGCTTTCGTGCCCGAAATCAGTTCATATAGAAGAGCACTTGTCTGATTAGATTTGTCTAGAACATTGCGGCATTTGATCAAAGAGAACATTGCCAGCAAGCGATCAGGATGCTGGCCACGATTCTTTTCGTGTGAGTCCACCACACTCGTCAAAATTCTTTCTGCCTCATCATATCGTTTCGCACACATCAGAATCCTGCCATGGTGTAGCTCACTAAACAAATAAATAAAATGGTCCTCGCCAAGATCCCTACGGACTACCGAGTGTCCAGGCAAGAATATTGACAATGCCTCATCGGTTTCACCGCACACACCCTTTATCCTAGCCAGGTTAAGACCGGCCCAAAGATTATGATAATTTTCTCTCCCAAGTCTTTTCACGCGAGTCGTAAACACCTCTGACTCAAGTGCGAGAGCACGTTCCAGATCGTTTGGTTGGCCTTGACGATATGCAGCTCTGTCGAAGTAGGCCATCGCTAAGTTATCCATGGCTTCGAGCGTAGCTGTATGTGAAGGACCCAGCTTAACCCTAAGACCAATGAATGCTTTTGATTGTATGTCGATCGCCTCGGTGAAATCAAAGTCTTTGCCAACTGCGCGTCCCAGTCCCCCATTGCCTTCAATGTTTGAACATCATCTTTGCCAAGTACCTTTTTGAGTCCCTCAACAGCTATGGTATATAATTTACGCGCCTCAGGAACATGACCCTGCAGCCATAAACTAGAACCGTATGAATCCATGATCTGCAAAGTTTCAGGGTTCTCGGGGCCGAGAACCTTGATACAAGCTTGTAGTGCCTGCTTTTGAAGTTCAACGGCTTTATCAGGGCGTGCGAGTTGCCAGTAGGTCCATGACAAAAGCCTCATAATATTTATCGTCTTCATGTTTTCAACACCCAGATACTGAATCGCAATGTTGGCAACGTATGATCGTAATCTTTCTGCTTCTTCCAGTTGATGTCCTTGTGCATATACCAAACTGAACTTCACAAGCTGTACTAAACGGTCTGGAGTCACCCGGGGCTGTATTAATGGCAACAGCTTCCTTCTAGATTCTCTATTTCTTGCAAAGTTGTTTGGATTGTGCGTTCAACATGTTGGATATGACGAACGTGAGGAAGCAAGTCTCTGCGAAATATTTCATCTTCTTCTGTATCACCTAATGGAGGGAGTAAAATCGCTTGAGAGAGTATCGTTGCCGTCATTTGACACCATACCGCTTGCTCCACAAGTGTCATATCTGGCCTTTGTCGTGCCCAAAGATGAACTGCGGCATGCATCGAATAACAATCCCCAATGCCAGAATTCGTCGATATAAGCGACATCCTAGAAAGTTCTTTTATTTCTTCTCTCAGCCTCAATTCGTAGAAGGCTTCGGGTCCAATCGATTGGGAGAGAAACTTTGGCAAGACAGGACGGTGACCAAGCTGAGAGAGTAGATTGAGAAGGCGCATGATAATATTCCTCAAAGTCTGGGCTTTTGTGAGCTTTGGTATTGACTTGCTGTAAACCTTCCTGTCCCCTTCTTTGCGAAGCTCGGCTGCAGATTCTACCGTGGGGTTCGTAGCTGCACGTAGGAATATTTCTAGCTTGATTTGTTGGCGGTCGAGAAAGGAGAATATTCTTAGGAGTTCCAAAGCATCCTTTGAAGCTGAATTCTTTCTCATTGAGATTCCATCGTGCATTAGCTCGAAGCTACTATAAATAGCAGCATTGGTGTCCGATATTGGAGTGGCAGCAGTTGGCTCCTTTATTTGACGAATTCGATCCCATGTTGCTTCAAAGAAGTTGAGGTATGTCTCGAGTGTGCACTGACCTGAAAGAACTGTCGCCCCAGCATGTATCAGCGCAAGGGGAAGATACCCCATAGCTTTGGCGATGACACTGGCAAAATTAATATTAGTTGCCTTCCATGGTATCGACTCGCCCAAAGCGTTCAGAAGTAGTTCGATAGACTTTTCCTCATCCAGTCCATGAAACTCAAAATACCTAGGTACAACAATGCCATGTGTTCTGAGCATAGGGTTTCTGGTAGTTATAAGGATAGTACCAGAAGTACTATCAGGAAAGCAATCTTGCACAGGAAAATTATCGTCATCTGCATTGTCGATTATCAAAAGCCATGGGTGGTCTGGCCCAAGAGTTGAAAACCAGCTTTTAACGGCCGCCTGGTTAGGTGCAACCTTTCCAATTGTGGAGAACGACTGCTCTGCGTGCTCTTTTGAGGTGGCATTTATCCAGAAAACGCCCCAAAAGCTGAAGGATTTAGTCCAATATTTACGTTATCAATTTTGTTGGGTTGGTACCTTTGTTTGTTCCTGGATGCAAAATTACAACAGAACTGTGTTTTTCCGGATCCTGCTAAGCCATAGATTATGAACCTCTTCTGCACATGAGAGATACCAGTAGAAATAAGACACTTCTGCAATATATCAAGCTCGCTTTCGCGCCCAGTATAAATACTGCTTACAGTCTGTGGCGTGAAGAAACGTTTGTTAAGATACGCTAACTCCACAACTTTCTGGGCAGACTCAATTGCAGATTCAAGCTTTAAAATCAGTCTTTGCTCTAAATAGAGCAGAAAGCATTTTTACTCACTGTGCCTTCAGTCGATGATTTGACTGTTCTTTCTAACGACTCAATTTTCGATTCCAAATCAGCTCCTAGATTCTGGAAAGATTCAGACAGTTCGGAATATGACTTGTGCGACTCTTGCTGTGACGTGCGAGAATATATACTAGTTTCTATCAGTGAACTGGTTCTAGAGAATCCAAGGGAAAGAAGGGTTCACATGTTGACGGCAGAAAGACTGAGTTGTAGTGCTTTCTGATGTGCTTTGAGTTTTTCGCGAAGGGACATCAACTCCTCCTCTTTCCTTTGCTGCTTGAGCCACTTGCGTATTTGATCACGTTTTATATGCTTTCCACCCCCGGAGCCCTCAACTTCAATCAAAATCTCCTCTATCTTTTCAACTATACGCTGACAGCTGACCAAAGTATTCTGAGTTGCATGCCAATTCGTACCTAGAATCTTCTGGTGTTCAAGGTTGGCCTTAGCCGTTGACCCTTCTGTATAACTACGCTCAATGAGATCGTTGACAGAACGGAGCGATGTAATCTCTTCAGACAGAGCCTCCAGTTCTTGGTCCACTACTCGAAAGCCATCATTGGCGTGTTTCAAAAATTGCGCAAGCCGAATGCAAACGTCAGTCAAACCAGCTGTGCCTGCAAGAATGGAGAATGGATCCGCCATATGCAGGAGCCTTGCCGTAATTTATTGGGCAATCGAACTCAAATAATTATAAGATGCTAAAATTGCATAATTAACGTGGGAAACATGGTATAACCCCACCACTGTCTAGTATGAATCAGGTGTATAATGGGTCTGAGGAAGTTAAACACCCAGAATAATGGATATTCTGTCGCCATTTATTGATGTCGGAGTTAAGCGATTTGACGTTACATCTTAGGCCTAGAAACCAACATCGTGGGTAAATCTGCAGCTTACTCCGCCATCCAACCTGTACAAGATAGGCAGGTCGACTCTATTGTTAGGTGTGCGGCTGATAACCAAATATCGGTCACCAATCAAAGTCATTACTAATTGTTTTACCAAGGCACAGCACCAGCATTTTAATCAAAATCGGAGGTTGTCGTTGGCTCAAAAAATCTTCTTCACCACCCTTAGAGATATGCAAGCATCGTAGAACTCTGGTTGGTCTATGCTACCCCGTTACACCCATCGGTTAGATACCTGAAAAAGAAAGAAATGTCTCACGAGAGTGAACAAAAGTTTGTCAATTCTCAACCCCATCATATTTGTTGCAAGATCCTTGGATTTCACCCAACGTCTTTTCATGTGAATTTTGTCTCTTGTATCAAGTCATGTATTCTAGCCCTTCATTTGATGGTCTAATCGGCTTTCATCCATCGTTTACTTCACTCCGGCCATCGTCATATACGGCTCTTCTTCTCCTAGTCTCATTGGGGCTATATTTCTACGTTCTCGGAGCTATTAAATACCGCGTAAGCCATTTTACGTTCTTTTATCCTAGATCATATATTCATTTCACTACAGATTGATTGCAGCAAGATACCGAGTTCGGGAAGAGGAGTGGATGTCAACCATCGTCAGCTAAACTCATTTACCAATGGCCTCTTGCACTGGATGTATTGAGGAGCGGTTTCAAAGCCGGACGTGATAAAAGCTCCTAGCTTTCTTTACCAAACATTTCGATCAATTGAAACCAACTTCTGAAGTAAAGATCCTCGGAGGAATTTGCTATGTGACGCAGGATCCTCAGAATATTGAGACAATTCTATCCTCGCAATTTCAGGGTAAGATATCCTTACTTGGACCTTCGTAAGGGTACGTTGACTCCATCACGCTAATGGTAAAACCATCTCAGACTTTCACCTCGGTCCTCGTAGTATGGCTATGACGGCAATGATCGGCGAAGGAATCTTCACTCAGGATGGTCCTGCTTGGAAGCATTCCAGAGAAGTCCTGAGGAAGCAATTTATGCGAATGCAGTACCAAAACCTGAAGGGCTTTCGCGAGCATCTGGAAAACCTGATTGGAAGGATGAACAATGCCCCTTCTGGAATCACAGATCTTCAGCCGATGTTCTATCGATTAACGCTTGGAACAACGATTGCTAGGATTCTTGTCCAACCCGTCGAGAGTTTCGAGCATGAGATAGGTGACTTGTTTTCGAAAGCGTTTGACAAAGCTTCTTTAGTTACTGGAACACGGGCTAGACTTGGAGATTTATATTTTATCTACCGTCCCCGCGGCTTCTTTAAAGCATGCGAAACAATTAAAACGTATACTTACCAGTTCGTCGCCGAAGCCTTGAAGCGGGAGTCGGATTGTCCAGCGGAGTCCGAGAAAAGCTCCTTCATTGCAGATCTATATCAAGACAAGCAGAAATTGCAACTGGCTGGGGAGCAGGTACTTAATATACTAATAGCTGGACGAGATACTACAGTCGCCACATTATCTTATGCCTTGTTAGTACTTGGATGTTTGATTTCATCTGGTCATGGCGCTAACGCTTTCAATCTAGTCACCTTCTTCTGGGCAACCCAAAGATTCTAGAGTGTCTCCGTCGTGAGATTGATACCGTTGTCGGAGACGAAAAAGAAGTCACCAGAGTACATATACAGCAAATGCCTTACCTACGCAATGTTCTCCAAGAGAGTAAGGCAGACCAACAAGCTCTCCAGCCAGATATTCGCTGACGAGCAAAATAGCCCTTCGATTGTATCCCCCAGTGCCGATCAATACTCGATTTTGTCGGAAGACAACAACTCTTCCAGTGGGCGGTGGTCCGGACGGGAGCTCACCACTTTTTGTTCGAGAGGGAATGCCTGTTGCATATTCAGTATACCACATGCAGCGAAGCAAAGACCTGTACGGCCCCCGCCCTCTAGCTTTCAGACCCGAGAGATGGGAAAGCCAGGAGCTTAACAGCATTGGTTGGGGCTATCTTCCCTTCGATGGTGGACCTCGAGTCTGTTTGGGAAGTAAGTCTGCCGATCATACCCTTCACACCACTATATGATCGAATCATCGCTAACCGTGACAATGAACAGAGGATTTCGGACTCATGCTGGCATCATGTGCAATAGTGCGGGTTCTTCAGGAGTTTCCTGGCATAAAAGTTGCTCCGGGTGAGGGTATAGATGAGCCTGGAACGGAACGTCAACATCTCACTCTGACTTTGTCAAATGCTCGAGGTTGTAGGGTGCTTCTTCGCTAAGGCCCATGTCGACTCTTAGTACGAGGTAGAATACAAGATACCTGGTCATTACTCTATATAAACGATATAAGTTAAGGATTTATTATACCAAACTTCTAATACATGTAAAATAATCAAATTAGTACACCTATACCAATACAAAGTAAGCGATAACAGTTATTGGAAACTCTTTTCTTGGCTATTCTACTTATACGACGCTTTTGGAATAAATTTATTATTAAACTAAGTATTAGAAGGTCGATGTATTTTAGCGTCCTCGAGACACAGGCTACTAGAACCTTCCGATATAAGTTTTCAGCTATTAAGGATATAGCCCTGGCTAATACAGTCTACTAGAACCTTCCGATATAAGTTTTCAGCTATTAAGGATATAGCCCTGGCTAATACAGTCTACTATTCAAAAAATGATAAAAGCTTTAGGGCCACCGCTTAGGAGAAATCCTTTAACTAAGATTCTAAGGGTAATTTAATCTACACATTTACTTCCAACCATTCCTATCATTTCTTAGCACACAACAAATCTCTCTCAACAGAGCGAAGACTCACCATCATACTTTTTGCGCAGACCGACGCTTAACCAGGTCGCGTCCTTAGCGAACAAAACAGACTAACAGTTAGCGGTGTCGGCGCTTTTTACGTACAGTAATACAAACAGTAACTGACGGACAGGTGTAATCCCAGCTTTAGAAAATTCCACATGCTTTATTTGAGGTTACTGATATTGTTATGTGACTTTAACGAGGGTTGGAGATAGGCGAGGGGTTTTGGTTAGTAAAGGGGGTTATGGTTGCGCTATGGCCGATCACGTCGGGTTTAGCCTTGGGTTTTCGTGTCTCGTATATGGAGTACTTACTAAGTAAACAAATTTAGCCTGTGGTTTTCTTGTTTGTATATTTTACCCTAATTCGTGGCCTTATTATCGAAAGTGCTGTGAGAAGAAGTGGGATTTCGATGGATTGGCGATGATGATGCATGAATTGAAAGAATACAGCGTATGTTGTCCTTCTAGTGATACTATAGAGGAGTGGGTTGGAGGGAATATACTATCAAAAACAACTTTGAACTCAGGATATGCCTCACCAGTACTAAAACAGTTACTGTATATACCCAAGTATCCGCAAAACTCAAAATTACCACCAAATAAACAACCCAAATCCACCAAGGAAGATACATACAATCCTTAAACTTACTTCACATCAACAATACCTATCCTCTCTCTCATGCATCAATAAACCAAGAAAAACACCTCTATAACTCACCCCCTCATACCTCGTCCCTCCCCATTACTCTAATTCCTAGCTCCCTGTCAGGGTGTATGATTAGATTGTCTGCAAGGAGAGAAGAGTTCTCCAAGCAGAAGTGCTACTTAACTATCTACAGTGCCCTGGTTTCCGAAATTTACCCGACACCAAGCCTCGAATTCACTGAATCAAATCTGTTACACGCCCTCTGCTCCACTACATTAGCCAATATCAAGCATTTCCGCAAGTTTCCCATTCGGTAATTGATTTAACTACCCCCCACTTAATTAAAAAGTCCTCAAATACCCTTTGCATAATTAGATATTGACAGGAGTACCCTATAAGCCGTTTGCCACTTCAAAAGAGGGGTAGTTATGTCAGTATCGCTTAGAAAATGGGGTATTTCTGTTAGCAAACATTCACTACTCTTTATATATATCTGTACATATTTTCTAGTGAATTGAAGTTGCGGGGTCCTGGTACTGTACTATAACAATATCCTTCTACCTTCTCCCTTTACCCCTTAACGCTACTACCACTAGACTACCACACCCACCATACTGCTAACGCCACTACCACCACTAAAACCAGTATACTAGTCCATCAACTACACGCGAAACTTCGTAACAATCCTCCAGAACCTCTTCCAAACCCTGCAGAACCACTTCGAAATCTCAAGAAACGGCTAGCGCAACAACAAGAGACTCCTTCCCACCAGGGACAACGAACGACCAATAATAAGCGTAAGTGCAAAAGCAAGGGAAATCATCTAAAAATATATTAGACTACACGGTAAAAAGTAATTAGTAGTAGATTAACTTACTTTGTTCATTAATTTACTGGTAGAATTATATATAAGAACTAATGAAGAAATGAATTCCTAGGACTTTTATTTACCGATAGAACTACCACTATTTTAGGGGGTATAGATTAGAGGGTAGTTCTGTTAATTCCTGATTACGCGAGGGGTATTTAAGGGGTTTTTAATTAAGTAGGGGGTGGTTTAGTTAATTACCTTATTACGTTATATTAGGAACCCCTGACCTAATATCGGTGCTGTATATACTATATATGACATAAGTTCCTAGTATTGTTTACGATGAATAAAACATCCACCATTTCCATCACACCTATCTCCCTCTCCAGCTTTCTTCATCTCCACTCACCCCTTCCCCCCACTATCCTACTTCCCCCACTATCCTCTTCCTCCATCCTTACCCCTTCCTTCCTCCATCCTACCCCATCCCACCCCCCTTCCCCCCTTCCCCCACCTCACTCTATAAAATTTCCCCTAAACAAAAATACCATCCGCTATTTCCCCTATAATACGTATACAATCAAGTATCTAGACTCTAGCCATTACTTAATTCCTTTCATCATAAGAACCTGAGAATCTGTAGTGAAAAGGAGATATTTACAGGCTGGGAGATTTTTTGTTTGAATTCGGAGTATATGGGCTTTTGGAATGTGGATTAGAGGTTTGGGGGGGTTTGGGGGTTGGGATGGGATGGGATGTGTTGGTAGGATGAGGTGGAAAGTGGGAGACTTGGAGATTGGGAGGATTTAGTAGGTGGTGCTAGTGTATATATACTGTACGTTAAACCTATTCCATGTTTTATAAGGTGTACGATATGATGATTACTGATTATTGTTAATTCGTGGAGTGAACATGGGATCTCGCTTAAGAGGGACATAAACGAGAACCTCCCGAACCGTCTTATACATTCTCATATATTCGCACTACCTCTTATCATTAACCCCCAATCTTCTATATCCTACATAAACCACAGTAAATACCCATCAAACCCCCCTAATC